CAGATACTTTAAATTCTAAGGTTCAGACCTCGATTTATTTCACACCTGAAGTTTAAACCTGCCCCTGCCCTGAAACATCTGAGGAGAAACGACTAGAACCTGGAGGAACATCTGAGGAGAAACGACTAGAACCTGGAGAAACATCTGAGGAGAAACGACTAGAACCTGGAGAAACATCTGAGGAGAAACGACTAGAACCTGGAGGAACATCTGAGGAGAAACGACTAGAACCTGGAGAAGAACATCTGAGGAGAAACGACTAGAACCTGGAGAAACATCTGAGGAGAAACGACTAGAACCTGGAGGAACATCTGAGGAGAAACGACTAGAACCTGGAGAAACATCTGAGGAGAAACGACTAGAACCTGGAGGAAATCTGAGGAGAACGACTAGAACTGGAGAAACATCTGAACATGACTGAGAAACTTGAGAAAAGATAGAACCTGGAGGAACATCTGAGGAGAAACGACTAGAACCTGAGAACATCTGAGAGAAACACTAGAACCTGGAGAAACATCTGAGGAGAAACGACTAGAACCTGGAGGAACATCTGAGGAGAAACGAGAACTGAGAGAAAACGACTAGAACTGGAGGAACATCTGAGGAGAAACGACTAGAACCTGGAGGAACATCTGAGGAAACGACTAGAACCTGAGAACATCTGAGAGAAAAGACTAGAACCTGGAGGAACATCTGAGGAGAAACGACTAGAACCTGGAGAAACATCTGAGGAGAAACGACTAGAACCTGGAGGAACATCTGAGGAGAAACGACTAGAACCTGGAGAAACATCTGAGGAGAAACGACTAGAACCTGGAGAAACATCTGAGGAGAAAAGACTAGAACCTGGAGGAACATCTGAGGAGAAACGACTAGAACCTGGAGGAACATCTGAGGAGAAACGACTAGAACCTGGAGAAACATCTGAGGAGAAACGACTAGAACCTGGAGGAACATCTGAGGAGAAACGACTAGAACCTGGAGAAACATCTGAGGAGAAACGACTAGAACCTGGAGAAACATCTGAGGAAAAACGACTAGAACCTGGAGAAACATCTGAGGAGAACAGTTTGAGGAACAGATTGTGAGGACATTTCTCACTGATGGACCTGGTTGGGGTTTTTACCTTCCTCTTTGGTCCTCCCCTCGTGCTCCAGATGCCCTCCCTCGCTGGTGCTCCTCACCGCGGTGGAGGCCAGCTTCTCTTCATCTGTGGCGTGATGTTCTCTCTGCGTGATCTCCGGGGTCCGGATCACTACCTCCTCCTGCAGGAGCACACAGGTACTGCGCTCAGAACGCAAAAACACCGACGCACCAAAAACAACCAGAACCCAAAACCTCAAAACCTCAAAACATCTCAACCTCCCAAACCCAAACCCCGACCTGACCCCTGACCTGAGTGTCCTGTGGTACCTGTGTGAGGTCCTGAGTTTCCTCCGAGTGCAGCGGGACTTTACACGAACTCCTGAAAACACAAAAACACAAAAACACAGTGAGTCCAACCGTCACAGACCAAGTGTGGACCTGGTTTAGTCCTGGTTTAAAAACAGAAATGATGAGGTAGTGTTTTTTTCTTCTTTTTTTTGGGAATCATCTCTTGACTTTTCTCAGGGTTCAGGGTTCAGGGTTTGGGTTTGGATTCAGGGTTTTGGGTTCAGGGTTTGGGTTTGGGTTCAGGGTTCAGGGTTTGGGTTTCAGGGTTTGGGTTCAGGGTTTTGGGTTCAGGGTTTTGGGTTCAGGGTTTGGGTTCAGGGTTTGGGTTCAGGGTTTCAGGGTTCAGGGTTCAGGGTTTTGGGTTCAGGGTTCAGGGTTCAGGGTTTGGGTTCAGGGTTTTGGGTTCAGGGTTTGGGTTTGGGTTCAGGGTTTGGGTTTGGGTTCAGGGTTTGGGTTCAGGGTTTTGGGTTCAGGGTTTTGGGTTCAGGGTTTTGGGTTCAGGGTTTGGGTTCAGGGTTCAGGGTTTGGGTTCAGGGTTTGGGTTCAGGGTTTTGGGTTCAGGGTTTGGGTTCAGGGTTTTGGGTTCAGGGTTCAGGGTTTGGGTTCAGGGTTTTGGGTTCAGGGTTTGGGTTCAGGGTTTGGGTTCAGGGTTTGAGTTTGGGTTCAGGTTCTGGGTTCTGGGTTCAGGGTTCAGGGTTCAGGGTTCAGTGTTCAGGGTTTTGGGTTCAGGGTTTTGGGTTCAGGGTTTTGGGTTCAGAGTTTGGGTTTGGGTTCAGGTTTGGGTTCAGGGTTTGGGTTCAGGGTTTGGGTTCAGGTTTGGGTTCAGGGTTCAGGGTGAGGAGACTCTGGTCCAGAGGAACAAACACTGAGCAGGTTTTGTGTCTCAGATCCTTTTGAAGAGACGAAAACAAGTTTAAAAAAAAAAAGAAAACCTGAGATCTGTTAGATCTGAGAGAAGGAAGAAAGAGAAAAGGAGAGATAAAGAAGATAAAGAGAGAGGGATGACAGGAAGAGGAGGAGGAGGAGGCAGACTGTACTTACAAGAGCAGACAGAGGAACTCCCCCT